CTACGACCATCAAGCTCTCCCCTAGTCTTCAATCATTTAAAAAGAGCTTCAACATCCATCTCTTTAGGAAAGCTTATGGCCTCCCAGAGTAACCTCTACCTCACGTACCTGTCCCTTGCTCTCTCCTAAAGGATTGCATTCTTTTCTCTCCTCTAGCTCTGCTTCACTCCACCTTGTTTGATTGCTACCTACTGTACTGTTGTTTTTTACACCCCACCTCCTATAGACTGTACGCTCGTTTGAGCAGGGCCCTCTTCAACCTATTGTTCCTGTAAGTTTTTGTAATTGTCTCATTTATTGTTAAATCTCCCACTTTGATAATATTGTAAAGCGCTATGGAACATGCTGGCACTATGTAAATACCAGTAATAATAATAATCTGTCAATCATGAGTTAAAGCCAAATATCAAGGAAGTGGAATGTGATGAGGAGAAAGTGGAACTTTATGGGTATATATCTGCTTGGGGTAGTATGCCAAACATATGATATTCAATTGAGAAGCTTGGAAAAACTCACAATTTGATGAGCATTTATAAGTTTGCTCTAAACTATATAGGTAGAACGAATCATTCAGATGTACATGGATCCAATGTTTAGGTCCCCCAGGAGGTGTTTGCAGTCCTCAATCAGGTAAATCAGGAACCAAGTAACCAGGTAGAAAATAAATTTATTATGATAAAACACAAAAAAAAAGGCACAACGCGTTTCGACCCAGTAAAGAGGGTCTTCCTCAGGTGCAGGTATAAGTTACAATGAAAGGTATTCACAATTTATAAGGCAAACAATTAACAATCAATTACAGGTGTGTAAAAAATCAGTCCCTCCCCTTAGTAGCATACTGGTGATATTCCAGTCTTTTTCTGCCACCTCCAACATGTCAGCCAACACTCAGGAGTCCTACAGTGTCTCTTGTGACCTTCCCAACATGGCCGCATTGGGAAGGTCACAAGAGACACTGTAGGACTACTGAGTGTTGGCTGACATGTTGGAGGTGGCGGAAAAAGACTGGAATATCACCTGTATGCTACTAAGGGGAGGGACTGATTTTTTACACACCTGTAATTGATTATTAATTGTTTGCCTTATAAATTGTGAATACCTTTCATTGTAACTTATACCTGCACCTGAGGTCGAAACGCGTTGTGCCTTTTTTTTGTGTGTGTTTTATCATAATAAATTTATTTTCTACCTGTACCTGGTTACTTGGTTCCTGATTTACCTGATTGAGGACTGCAAACACCTCCTGGGGGACCTAAACATTGGATCCATGTACATCTGAATGATTCGTTCTACCTATATAGTTTAGAGCAAACTTATAAATGCTCATCAAATTGTGAGTTTTTCCAAGCTTCTCAATTGAATATCATATGTTTGGCATACTACCCTATGTTGGTGTTCTATTTTTACAGAACCTAGGGACCTACCACAAATTTGTGGACTTATAAGCTACCTGCGCAATCACCTATTCCTGTTTTTTCATTTGTATATGTAAGTGTATGTAGTGACTATACACTAAGGTGTTTTTGCTGCATGCTATAATATTAGCACGTTTTTCTATTAGCGCCACCCTTTCTCCTTTCTTACTTCTGTATATATCTGCTTGGGGCAAGAAGGGTGTGACGAATGCCCCTTTGCCACTGGCTCCTGGAGGAATGTGGGGTCTAGCCTCCTGCATACTGACTATGGGCCATGCTAAAAGGCTATTAAACGACTTGGTTCGTGGGATTCCCTTGGACTGTTCGGGGACCACCTCTGGGCTTGTTAACCCCTGGTAACCTTTCCTGACACTTCAATTATCGTGTGTTCTAATTGTGCGGCTGGGTGGCCGCCGTTCGTATGCTCGAACACGTGGAAACTGTGTTGTCGGCCATCTTGTTAGCGGAAATGCAGGCAGCGGTGTTTGGGCGTTTATCGAATGGAACTAAAATTGGACACAGAAACTCCTGAACACCGCTGAACTTTGACGAACACCTGCTTCCTTCCCACACGTCAGGAAAGCGCCGTTCAGTAGGTTTGTTCGTATGAACCATACAAACGCTACCAACAAGCCAGAGTGTGCGTTCAGTATTTCTTTCGCATGGAACTACCGCAGTTGACCGGCAAAAGCACATAACGCACTGGAACTGTTTTGGTCATAGGACCATGTGTGCGGCCGGTCAGAACTTTACCCAGGTGGCGTTTCAGCTGTGTTTGTGGTTTCTCAGCGCTTTTTTGGATATGTTGGGCACTCAGATCCAGACTATCCAGGGATTTATAAACTATGGGGGTTCCTGTTTTTTGTGTGTTTTCTATAATTTGTCAGTTTATGCTTAGTCTTGGTGACATGATATTTTGGGGACATTTTGTGGGTGAGTTTATGGGAGTGTCATGGGCGTGTTTACTGTGTCCCTGTATTGTATAAAAGCAGGCCATAGAGCATGGAGTAAACAGATTTATTTTACCCCTTCATCAAGTCTAGGCTGATGCTTGGGGGAATTTGGACTATAATCACTACTGCGCTTGGGAGATTCTTCACAGTTATAATCAGCTGGAGTATAGGGATCCTTTACAAAGGGAAATCAGTTATTGGTTGGGATATGATTATAAACAACCTAATGTTAATATTGATGAGGAAGAACAGCTGTTTAAGCAAATTGGGATAAGTGCAAATCTGGGTAACACATGAATTATTGGAGATTTGAATTACCTGGACACACATTGGAACAGAGTGACAAGTAGTTCAGTAAAGGGAATTACGTTTTTGAACTTGTTAAATGACACCTTCATGCCACAACTTGTACAAGCACCAACTTGAAAGGATGCTTGTTTGGACCTGTTTTTAAGAAACAATGTTGATCTTTTGACCAACATTCAAGTAGTGGAGTGTCACGGCAAGGGTGCATAAATTATTGTATATGGAATATTGTAATTTATTGTAATTTGTGTAGTGCATAGATGAACTGGCAGCTTAGTAGAGGTGGTATTGTCAATTCCAAAAGGGGTTAATTTGATTGTATGGGAGGGCAGAAGGTTTACAGCCTAAATTACTCTTTGAAGCTGGGACCCCAACAGAGCTACTCTGTAAGGTGTGAGAAGTCACATATAAGTGGCCCGGAAGTCTGGTTTAAAGTTAAACTAACTCTCTAATTTGCCATATGTCTAGATTCTTAATGGCCATTAGCCTTGTGTTCCAGTATCATATCCAAAAGAAACATTAATACTAACCCACAGATTAATAAGTAAGCAGCATCTTTATTATATTTAGAATGGGACAAGTAAATCAAGCCAAAACATGATTTGCGTAACTTAACCATCGGGGAATGGATTGTGATGTCCGCTGTATTGGGTCACAAATACGGAGTTTATCATATCTATGGAATTGAAAAATGGTAACAAATTCATAGATGCAATTATTATTTTTGTGGCAAGTACATAAGAGGAGATAGAACCAAATGTTTCCATTTGGATTGATGTTGGTCTGGAACACAAGGGTGTGATCACTTATTTTCTCTATAGGTATGCCTTATTTGCACCCTTGGGGCCAGGCTTGGTAATCCACAGGGTATATATATTCAATGATACTGAAATGTGTATTGTACTTGCTTGGGGCCAAAATCTAATTTTGAGTGAATCACCATCTTCCTTGCCAGAGACCCCATGGGCAGAAGCTTTACTTTGAAAACCTAAGGAGTAAGTGATTAGGACTTCTGTTATTTTATCCCTTTTGTTTTTATCTGTTGTTGGTGTTACTAATTTAATTGTCATCTATATTTTTGTATGCACTGTGACTATTGTTTGCTCCTAATAAATATTCCTTTATTAAGTTCTACATTTGTCTGGTAAAGAATCACGTTACCTGAAGAGACTAATTACCGAGTGTTTTGCACTTGCATAGGTATTGTGCTAAGTTGTATTTGGTGGGTTTTTATTAGTTACCTGGGGGAACCAAGGCACCCCATTTATAAATTATCTTGGTGGTGACAGCGTTAAAATAGTAATATTTATATAAGTGTGGGTCGTGTTAAGGAGGGTTTAATCATTATTTCCTGTCTAGTGCACACAAATAGTGAACTTTAACCCTTTCACCACCACAACTATGTCACGCACACTCTTGATGTAAGGTGCGTTCGTAACAAGGAGCACTTGGGAAATAGTGAATACAATATCGTGTCCTTTGAAATAATCTCAAAAAACAAAAGCACATGAGAAATACTAAAACATATAATTTTAAAAAGGCCAATTTCAATAAGATAAGTGCAGCTTTACAATATATATATATATTAATATATTTTAATTTTAGTTGTGCATTGCATGACAAGTTTACAAAAAAACATTTCTCAAAAGACATGAACAATAGTCAATATAGGTATAACGTGAATGTTGAGGAAACTGCACATTTTTAGTAATTAAGAAGCATTAGGAACACAGGACTATGTTGATGTGACACAAAAAAAATGACAGGGTGCATCATAAAACTTTGGTAGAATAACAAAACATAGAAAAACCGCTGGTATTGCAGCTACATTTGCATAAGGCTGGTATGCATATTAGGGCAACAAAATAACTAGTTAACCCCTTAAGGGCTGGACTGTTTTTGCAATGTTGTACATTTGCGACCATGCCTCTTTTTACACTTTTGTGGTGTCTGTGTTTTAGCTGTAATTTTCCGCTCTCTCATTTACTGTTCCAATACAAATGATATATAGTTTTTTTCAGGACAAAAAGGGCGTTCTTTACATACGATTATTATTAAAAATGATGAAAAATTGAAAAAAAATACATGTTTGTTTACATTTACTTGAATTTTTTTTTACTCATCTACAAAAGTGAATGAAAAAAACTGCTAAATAGAGGGGCGTGGCCTGGACACAGAGGAAAATAGCAGCTTAGGCACGGAGCTCCGACCCACAAGAACTCACAGCACACTGAAACTACAGCAAGGCACGAGGATGGGGCACACAAAACGCCTAGATGGATCCCAGACATCGAGGGGTAACCGCCCTAGCATCCCAGCCAGACCCATGGATGGGTTTCTGACACCCGCAAAGAGCACACTCCAGGAGGCCGCGCGCGCCAATGTGGCCGACTCACCGACCCGCTCAATGATGTCGGATGGCGGTGAAACCACGCTGGCGGACATCAGGGCTGACATCAGGGCACTTGCCGAAAACATGGTCATGAAAGATGACCTCCACAGCCTCTCTGATACCCTTCATGCAGCGATCCGCACAGAGGTAACACTGCTCCGGTCAGACATGACGGCGCATGACAGCAGGCTGCAGCACCTGGAAACTACCACACAGGCTTATACTCTTGCCAAAACCAGGCAGGAGAATATGCTGCTCGCCCTGAGACGTCACACTGAGGACCTAGACAACAGAGGCCGCAGATCCAACATCAGGGTGCGCGGCCTGCCAGAACCAGCCGGCGAGGAAGATGTGGAGGCTATACTGGGCACACTTTTCAGAGGAATCCTGGGAGCTGAAGCCCCGGCCACAATTGAGTTTGACAGGGCGCACAGAGCTAACAGGCTACGCACAACTGATGGCCACGAGATATTGTATGCTGTATGCACCAATATAAGTTAAAAGAAAAGATCATGGCCAAAGCAAGATCCAGACCAATGTGGCCCTATACCAGGACCTCTGACCCTGGAGGCACGCAGAGCGCTGAGGCCGATCACATCACAACTCTAGGAGAGGGGAATCCCCTATAAATGGGGCTACCCCTTCGCTCTCCTAGCCAGGCACCAAAATGAATGGGTGCCCCTACGCTGGCCGGAGGAAGCACCCAGATTCCCGCAGCGTCTAGGAATACCGCCTACAGACGTCACCAACTGGGTCCTGGGACCACCAGAACAGAGAACAGTCCCGCAGACGCCGAGACAACAACGCCGACACAGAGATGGTACACCATGGCGCCCTACAGCTCGCAGACAGCTAGCGCCCACTGAACCGGAAAGAGTGAGAGCAGCCGACCCGGCTGTCGCCCCTCATTCCCCCCGCTGGCCTAGCCCTGTGCACGGCGACCCAGGGGGAGTCCGCAGGAGGAACCCAGAGGCCCCCGGCTACCAGAAGACGTCAGACACCAGATAAGTCTCAAATCACACACATACGCGGACACTGGCCCTAGCAAATACGCTAAACTCTCCGGCACCCATGAGACACTTAGCAGGGACATGAACTCTGGCCCACGGCCCTCGGGAAACCCTTTTGGGAGGGGGGGCACCGGGGGGAGGGCACCACTAAAGGAGACACTGGTGCCCGTCAGCACCAACACTAAAGGGTCATTACGGAGACTGGGGGCACTCCCACTGTCATAGCGATCACATCAACTGCTAGGGCTGATGGACCAGGAGGATACCAGATCTAATGGGGGATGCTGGGGGGATCCCCCGGGGCGGCTGCAGTGCACATGTTTGGGCGGGTGGGCCGGGAGGGGATGTACGAATGTACTCTGAAACTATACATATACCTCTTTGGTTCAGTTATGTTATATAGGTTTAAAGGTTGGTTTTAAGAGGTTGAGAAAAGTAGTAGCATGAAACGAATGTTGCACAATGTTGCGGGGCCCTGGTGGTAGGGGGGGAGGGGAAGCTAGGGTGAGCAAATTTCAGGGTGATTAGCGATTTGCAACCGAAATGGGAAGGCATAGAGGGAGCGGGGTGGTGGAAGGCGGGGAACGGGACGGGAGGGAGAAAAGTAAGACTTAGAATTAGAATATATGCAATACCTATTAAAAATGTGACGATACTTCACGCCCTTAGACCCCCATGCGGTGAAACTGCCTTCTCACCTCGTGACAATAGAGTAAAGCTTGCATGGTAGGCTCCAGCGACACAAATAGGCCGTAAAACCCGCTAGTGGGAACTCCTACCTGGCCACCTGACTGCCCTAACCCAGGCAGACCTGACACCCCTGGCTTGACGCAGCAGACACATCCTCACGGCTTCACCATGTATCCATAGCATTGCTGCAGGAAACACAACGATTGACAGACGCTTCCCGGACAGCCTTCACAGCACTCACCCAACGGCACGCAAAGCAGGAGTGGCGATTCTCCTGGCCAACAACCTCCACTTCACCCGGAGCGATACGATGGCCGACCCGAATGGCAGATACCTATTCATAAAGAGAACGGTAGCCCAGAAGACATACACATTTGCATCAATATACGCACCAAACAGGCAAAATTCCTCGGCAATACACTCCTCAAACTCGTCAACTTCACGGAAGGAGCCCTCCTAGTGAAGGGAGACTTTAACACACCCCTAGACCCGATCTCGGATCCGTCAACAGGACATAGCAGTATTCCGCAAACAGCCATCTGGACGATCCGGAGGACCTTACGCGACCTGCGACTTGTGGATGCATGGAGAATCTTACACCCAGATGATCGGGACTACACGCACTACTCGACCATGCACCATAGGCACTCCAGAATAGATTATCTCTTTATCCAGCAAGAAGGTCTACAAAGACTACTGGAAATCCGCCCTACTCCGTGGTCAGATCATAGCGCGGTATACATGCTTATGGATTCACCCCTATACAGACCAACCCGGACTACCTGGCGATTAAACGAATCGCTCCTCTCTGACGTAACGATACAGGCACAGCTAGTGGAACAAATGAATAACTACTTCACTGAAAACAACACCGGAGATACCTCTGCACTGACCCTGTGGAAGGCGCACAAGAGCGTCCTCAGGGGGCTTCTCATTCGGATATCAGCACAGAAAAAGAGGGAAGCACAACAACAAATGACGGCACTCGCGGAACAGATAGCAATGCTGGAAACGCTACACAAGAGGACTCAACTGGAGGCTCACTACCGCACCCTCCAGACGTCAACTGACAGAATTGATTGCCCGCAAACACCACAGATCGAAGGCCTTCTTCTGTATACATTCCAATAAGTGAGGGAGACATCTAGCCTGCATGATACGGAACCAACAAGCTAGTGCACAAGTAAGCACACTACGAACATCTAGGGACTCACTTACACAATTCCCCGAGGAGATAGCGAACGAATTCCATTCATACTATGAGGACCTGTACAACATAACACCCGAAACACCAGATACAGATGAGACCAGAAGTGCAGGGAACATCGCAAGCTACCTCAGAGACTTCAACACGGACGCCCTTTCCTCGCAGGAAGCCGATGCCCTAGACGCCCCGATATCTACAGAAGAGATACTGGCAGTGATTAAAACGAAGAAGAACGGGAAGACGTCAGCCCAGATGGATTCTCGGCAGGCTACTATAAAAACTTCAGAGACATCCTTGTCCCAACGCCTTTAACCATCTCCAAGACGGAGGTAGATTCCACCGAGAAACCCTAGCAGCCATAATCACAGTGATCCCCAAACCCGGCAAAAACCCTGAAGCCTGTGGCAACTACCGCCCCATTTCGTTATTAAACGTGGATGTGAAGATCCTCTCCAAAGTCCTCTACCCGACTGCAACAATTCCTACCGAGGCTGGTCCATCTGGACCAGACGGGTTTTATCCCGGGGAGGGAGGCCAGAGACAGTACCCTGCGGATGTTCTCTATACAAAGACTGGCTCGTAAAGGAAACTCGGATCTCCTTATGCTTTCCACGGACGCAGAAAAGCGTTCGAGTGACGTGGAACTTCATGACGACAACGCTGGCGGCAATGGGCCTGGGGAACGGCATACTCACCTGGATCACGGCACTCTACACCGACCCAACTGCCAGAGTGCGTGTAAACGGAGTTCTTACAGACAGCTTTGAAATCCACAATGGCACTAGACAGGGCTGCCCTTTGTCCCCCCTCCTTTTCACTCTCACGTTGGAGCCGTTCCTGGACAGGATAAGACAGACACCAGAGATACAGGGGTTCAGACAGAAAGACCAGATACATAAGGTGGCCGCGTATGCGGACGACATGCTCTTTGTCGTCGTAGAGCCTCAGACCACACTGCCAGCCCTGCTGGGTGAGTTCGAGCGATATGGACGGATATCAGGACTTAAGCTAAACCAAGCAAAATGTGAAATACTGGCAGTACGCACCGCAAGGAACACACAGGTGAGGCTCCAACGCAATTACCCTTTCCACTGGCGCATGGAACAGATGCACTACCTGGGAATATGGCTCCCCCGCAACCCGGGCGAAACATTCACCAGGAATTACACACCCCTCCTTCGCAACATACTGAAAGACCTGAAGAAATGGTCATACGACCACATCTCCTGGCAGGGTCGCATAGCGGTGGTCAAAATGAACATCCTCCCCTGCCTGCTCTATTGCTTCAGCACCATCCCCTGGCACCTGCCTCCAGACTTTTTTACCAAGCTCAAAACAGCGGAAACGAAATATGTCTGGAGAGAAGGGAGGCCGAGGCTCAGACACGACAGATTATGCCTGCCCAAACCATGGGACGGCCTTGCATTGCCGGACTTTCGGAAGTACTTCCAAGCAACAGTGCTCCAGAGGATTCGAGAATGGCACACGGCCCCCATCTAACAAATTGTGGGCGAGCCTGGATAGAGAAAGCACAAACAGGGCACTCCACGCATACATCTGGCACCGCTCGACAGGGGTCGCACACGCTCTGGGTGTGGAATCCCCCGTTACGTAGATGCTGAAAACCTGGTCCACCCTGAGAAGGAACACGCACATTTCACCACAACCAAGCCCCCTGATCCCCCTGACACACAACGAGGCCTTGGGGGGGAGATTGCAAATGAATGCGTGGCCAATACACAATGAAGTGGACTATGTACCCCTGAGCTCTGCCCTGACCAACGCCAGCCTGCGCAGCCTCCGAGACTGGGCTACCACGGAACGCCTGACGGTAATGCACCAATTCCACTACACACAGCTGCTGCACTTCTTCTACAATTTACCTAATAGAGGAGCGGTACATAGAGAACGGACCTGGTTCGAACACCTTTGCGAGACTTCTCCCGAGGCGGACGGTAGAGTGTCGGTCATATACCAACAACTGCTTACAGGGGAACTCACCAGAAATAACGCCTTCCAGAGGCAGTGGGAGGAACTTACGGGCAGAACTTTCACAGACGCCCAATGGGCACAAATTCTTATTCTGCAGCATAAAAGTTCGATAAGCACCAGGTACCAGGAGGTGAACTATAATTTGCTTTCCCATTGGTACAGAACACCATCGAGGTTACACAGGATTTTCCCACGGGTTCCAGTTACATGCTGGAGATGTGAAGCACAACCGGGCACGCTCTGCCATATTTGGTGGGACTGCCCCGCGATCAAGCCGTTTTGGGAAGAAATAAACCGTGAAATCACTGCAATTCTAGGAGACCCACCAGATTTCAACATAGAGGCTGCACTCTTGCACTTCTTTGCAGGACAGCTGGCACAATACAAATGCTCAATCCTACGACACCTGCTAAATGCAGCCAAAGCACTGATCCCAGCAAAATGGAAGCAAACCCAATCACCCACTAAAGTGGAATGGCTCCAGAGAATAGAGGAGATTCATACAGCCGAGGTGAGATACGCCGACATACTCGGGAGGAAAGACAAACATCTCGAATTGTGGAGACAGTGGTACATGTACACATCTCAAACGGGGACAAGGGGAGGAACACAACAGGGACATTAGTCAACATGAATAACACACACCCTCCGACATACCCCCCCCCGCCTTGCCCAAGCAGGCCAACTCGGGAGGCACACTAGATCCATACAACACCACAGCTCAACCCTACCCTTATCAGTACCCCCCACCCCCTTTCTCCTCCGGGCGGAGCCAGGGACCACCCGTTGTAAAAAGGTTACAAAAATATAAGATCTTGAGGGGTCAACGCGATCCCATGTGGAACGAGAGGCCCACATGACATCGCATAACGCAGTAGGGATTAACCCACAACAAGGGATACACCTACACAGAGGTGCAAACACAAGACAACATATGAAGGTAGACACAACCGGACAACGCAACATCACAACACCCCCATCCAACACGGGGTGAACACTCAAGACACATCACAGATACCTAATGTAGTTAGTGACTGGATAACTACACCAAAGACCGCCAATAAGGAAGCAGGACGATAGCAACGACTAAACGCATTACTGAGCCTCCTCCATAATGGCACCGTCTCGTAAATGAGGAACGGACGAGGACTCGGAACAGGACAGTAGATGCTCCGGGAGAGACCTGAGTAACCACCCAGGCTCAGAAGACACTAGGGAATGGGCAGGCAGACGAGGGAGACCTAGACCCGGTACAAGACTACAGGACTCTGACCCGTAAGACTGACCCTCATCTCGCCCTCCACGTAAGTGGATATTAACTCGAGACCTACCTCACTATCAACCAACTGGTAGGAGAACAAACGCAAGACCTGCGTGTCCATTAATACTATAGGCCAGCATACTAACGTATACTGAAGCATTGCATAAAGTTACACTTGGCACATGTTGTACTCATGTCGTCATTGTTAAGATGCTGATTGAGACCTGCGAGTCTCACTGATACCATTCGCATTGCTACCTGTTATTGTTTAAACTGCCAATAAAAGCGCTATTTACAAAAAAAAAGAAAGAAAAAAACTGCTAAATAGATTCAAAATTTTGTCCTGAGTTTAAAAATACCCAGTGTTTACATGCTTTTTTTTTGCAATTTATAGGCCTATAGTACAAGTAGGATATTGCGGTTTCAAAACATACATTTTTAAAATTTATCAATAGTGACATTGTAACACTATTATCTGTCATAAATCTCTGAATAACACCCCACATGTACATATTTTTTTAAAGTAGACAACCCAGGGTATTCAATATGGGGTATGTCCAGTCTTTTTTAGTAGCCACTTAGTCGAAAACACTGGCCAAAGTTAGTGTTCATATTTGTTTGTGTGTGAAAAAAGTAAAAAACTAAATTGAACGCTAATTTTGGCCAGTGTTTCTGACTAAGTGGCTACTAAAAAAGACTGGACATACCCCATTTGCAATACTTTGGGTTGTCTTCTTTTGCAAATGGTATGCCTTCATGGGGGTAATTCTCATTCCTGGGCTACCATACGCTCTCAAAGGCAACGTAACCAACCTGGCCATTTTCAATGTAAAAATATTTGACCCGGGGGGGTGGGGCTTGACCTGCAAGCTGAACAGTTGCATGGTGGAAGAGCTCCTGCCACACAGACTGTTTATAGGGAAATACTCGCAGATTTCATGCCTGAAACAATACCGGGGTACACTACCCATGCTGGGGGCATCCTGGTGAATCACTCGATGCCAAATTCGAGTGTTTCCCGCAATCGAGAACCCATGGTGACAGGCCGAGGCCTGCGGTGGATGGAGCTGGGGGGGACGGCCGCTCCTCTCGCCCCTACGACGGAGGCACCGAACCATGGACTACCCGCTCCCCCCCTCAGGACCGGTGGGGGTGATCCTGGTCCAACCTCTCCAGGCAGCGCAACCTCACAGGCAGCCCCTAGCCACGCGGGCCTATACAATGGAGGATGCCACATGCAGAAACGACTGTCGCTTCGAATGGCACCACACTCTGACCAAGCTGGATGCCATATTCAACGCCTTCTGGGCGCACCTGGCTAATAAAGAGCGGCATACCAAAGCCCCAGTACACTCACCTGATGAAAAAACAGCATATCTCCACCACAGACGCACGGGCCTCCACCCAAAGGGACCTAAAAGATGGCGCCGAAAACGAAGACTCCCCCTGCTGGCACACAAACAGGCGAGATCGCGCCATGCAGTAAAGCCAACACAGAGCGGCCTACAAGCACCCCCCAGACCTGGCATGAAGCAGCGACCTGCAAAGCAGACAAGAGACAAGCCTGCTTCAAAGCTCCGAACCCACTCAACAACACAGAGAGCCCCAGAGTACCAGAGAGAGACTCTACTTACCCACTTCATCGGAACGGGCCTCTGCAGTGACAGGCGGGCGAGACGGCCACTGGAGCTCACGACACTGCGCCTTGCTGTGCCCCGGCAGGACTCCCAAATATACCAGACACCCTTCTATGCGCTGGGCATAGGATGAAAGAGAACTCACAGGAAACCGCAGAGGTACATGCCCAAAGCCTCTGTTATAATAGACGCTACCCATACCACACTACAGCCTCCTCAGCAGAGACTAACCAACGACATAGCTCACAAAGGTTTTATTCTCTTCTGTTTGATTGTTTTCACCTGTTTAGCATCCTTTTAATAAGCTTATCAGACCTGTATAGTGCCTCACTACACGCGCAGGCATGCCCACATTTCACCTGTTGCCTATTTACCTTAAAATGACAAACCTGCCTGCCTGGCAAATTTCATGATCATTTCTCCTCATAGACACTCGAGACTTACAAGCATGCATCAAACAAACGTTATCGCATAGCCACACACATAGGAATAGCACACAATGACCACCAAATCTGTACTATTGTACCCATAGGTCAAGCATGATTCATCGGTGTTCAAGCTACTCCACTAACCATGTTTGCAACTATCTCAATCACATTCAAACCTTACTAAAAAATGTGCCGACTCATCGAAATGGAACAAAACAATAGTTTTAAAAGTTTTATGTCGCATGTAACATGTTTCATTATGTATTTTATGCATTCCTGCATCGGCTCACTGTGACAGTGCAGGAAGATCTGTTAACATATGCACAACAAAAAATAAAGAAATAAAAAAATATATATATATTTGACCCATATATTTGACCCTGAAACTTTCAAAAACGCTATAAAACCTGTACATGGGGGGTACTGTTATACTAGTGAGAGTTTGCTGAACACAAATATTAGTGTTTCAAAACAGGAAAACATATCACAACAATTATATCATCAGTAAAAGTGCTGTTTGTGTGTGAAAAATGCAAAAAAGGTCACTTTCACTGACAATATCATCGCTGTGATATGTTTTACTGTTTTGAATCACTAATATTTGTGTTCAGCGAAGTCTCCCGAGTAAAACAGTACCCCCCATGTACAGGTTTTAGGGTGTCGTAGAACGTTACAGGGTAAAATACAGTGCTAGCAAATTAAATTCTCTGGACTTTTGGCCTGGGTTGGCAGGCAGGTCCCTCAAATTGCAATCAATAAAATTACTTAATTATGTAAAAATATTACATAAATATGCACGTAGAATTTAAATATATATGCATATTTATATATTTTAAGTTTAAGTGTATATTTATATAATTATTTATGTAATTTTGTATATTATTATTTTATTATTTATATAGCGCCAACAAATTCCGTAGCGCTGTACAATGGGTGGACATATATATTTCGTATTTTTATTTATTTATTTATATATACATAGATATATACAATTTCATTCTAAGTGTATTTTGATATAAATATATATATATATATATATATATATATTACTATCAAAATACAGTTAGAATAAAATTTTCATATAGATATATAGTTTTTTTTAAAATTTGTATTATTTTTACATGTTTTTATTTAATTTAAATTACTTATTATTTGTATTTTATAATAATATATACAATATATATAGTTATTATATATATTATATATATATATATATGTGTGTAATTTAATTATAAGTGTATTTTTATATTAATATATGTACATATTAATATAAAAATACACTTAGTATGACATTATATATATAATATATGTCTATATATTATATATATATATATATATATATATATATATATATATATATATACACACACACATATATAATAATATTTTTATTTATTAACATTAACCTTTATTTTGTTTTATTTTACACTAGCAGGGAGACTGCCTGTCAGAACAGGCAGTCCCCCTGCAGGCAGACACATGGACACCTATTGTGACCATGTGACCGCTCTGAGCGATCACATTGCCACAGGGGTCCTAATCCGCCATGGGGAGACTGTCTGGGCTGCAGGCAGTATGCCCACACCGGTAGCACCGCCGATCGCCGCCGATCGGGTAAGTACATCTGACCGTTAGGACGGTTCAGGACCGTCAGCAGTTGGCAACACAAAAATGCCGATGACGTTCCTGAAGGGGTTAAATGTATATATTATATATTTTTAGTGCATTATATAGTTTATATAATATATATATACAAACTGTTGTAATTCCTACACCGTTCATCTGATTGGGATGTAAATACCCTCAAATTAAAGCTGAAAGTCTGCAGTTAAAGCACATCTTGTTCATTTCATTTCAAATCCATTGTGGTGGTGTATAGAGCCAAAAAGATTAGAATTGTGTCGATGTCCCAATATTTATGGACCAGACTGTATGTGTGTATTGGATGTGTATGGTATTTGTGCGGGGTTTGTTGGCTGAGTGTGATGGGTATTTCATTCAGATAAAAATATGTATGTAGGCACATGTGTGAATGCAGGTGTGCATTTCTACAGAGTCACATGCACAGAGTTCCAGGCATATAGTCACACATACAGTTCCAGGTATATAGTCACACATACAGTTACAGGTATATAGTCAAACACATAGTTACAGGCAGTCACACACATGTACAGGCAGACAATCACACACAGTTAAATGTTGCCACACAGACACAAACACAAAGTTATAGGTAGTCAGTCATACAAACACGTACAGGCAGACATTCTTACACACACTGTTACAGTCGTATAAATTGTTACAGACAGTTGTACACACACTGTTACAGACTGTCACACAGTTACAAGCAGATAGCCACACACACAGGCAGACAGACACATACGCACAGTTACAGGCAAACAGTCACGGTGTCCCTGCCCCCATCTACTGTTATAGTGACCCTGCTCCCTATCTACCAAAGTGCCCTTGCTCCCTGTCTACAGACAGCCACACACACACTGTTACAGACAGACAGTTACCTCTTTACATTATGTGTTTGAGGGTGGAACAAGGGCACTGTAGCAGTAGATAGGGAGCAGGGGAACTGTAGTAGATGGAAAGAGCCGGGGCACTGAGTAAGATGGGAGTAGGGGCACTGTGGTAGATAGGAAGCAGGGGCAATGGGGTAGATATATATATTTATATATAGAAGCAGGGGCACTATAAAAGTATATGGGGGAGCAGGGGCACTGAGTTAGATAGGGAGAAGGGGCACTGTGGTAGATAGAAAGAAGGGGCAATGGGGTAAATATATATGTAGAAGCAGCGCCACTATAGAAGTATATGGGTGAGCAGGGGTACTGTGGTAGATAGGGAGCAGGGGCACTGATGTAGATAAGGAGCAGGGCACTGGGGTAGATGGGGAGCAGTGGCACTGGGGTAGATAAGGAGCAGGGGCACTATGATAGACAGGGAGTAGGGGCACTGGGGTAGAAGGGGTAGTAGGGGCACTGGGGTAGATAGGGAGCAGGGGCACTGTGGTAGATAGGGAGTAGGGGCACTGGGGTAGATAGGGTAGTAGGGGAACTGGGATAGATAGGGAGCAATCACTATAGCAGTAGATAGGGGAGCAGGGGCACCTGGGTCAATAGGAAGCAGGGACACTATATCAGTAGATGGGAGAGCAGGGGCAACAGAGTCAATAGGGAGCAGTGGTACTGTGGTAGATGGGGAGCAGGGGTAGATAAGGAGCAATGGCACTATGGTAGACAGGGAGTAGGGGCACTGGGGAAGATAGGGAGCAGGGGCACTATGGTAGTTGGGAAGCAGGGGCACTGGGGAAGATAGGGAGCAGGGGCACTATGGTAGACAGGGAGTGGGGCACTGGGGAAGATAGGGAGCAGCGGCACTATGGTAGACAGGGAGTGGGGCACTGGGGAAGATGAGGAGCATGGGGACTGGGATAGATAAGGAGCAGGATCACTATGATAGACAGGGAGCAGGGGCACTATGGTAGACAGGGAGTAGGGGCACTTGGGTAGATAAAAAGCAGGGGCACTGGGATAGATAAGGAGCAGGGGCACTATGATAGACAGGGAGTAGGGGCACTGGGGTAGATGGAGTTGTAGGGGACCTGGGGTAGATAGATGGGAAGCATGGACTTCTTCCAGCTTACCCAACACTTACCAATTCGGGTCACATTTAGCCCTGCCCAGCTTCTCTCTATGCTCTTCCCCGCCGCTTTCTAAGCTCCACCCCCATTGTTCCCATGCGTTTCTGCAGGACTTGAGCCCTTCTAGTAAGTACACTAGAGATTTGACCATCATTAGTTTTGTATCTCCTGTATTTCCAAGCCTGCCCAGAGGTGGCATATGGTGGTATATGGACAGTAGGAAGGAGTACCTATAGGAACAATAAGTGGCCCCCCTTTTGTGCTTCAGACCAACACCAATAGAAAATGTTTATCTTATTTTCTCTCTTGTGCTTGCTAGAGAAATTATTATTGCATCTATTAATTTCTTGCAATCTATCAATTCCATAGATATGTCATACTTTGTACTTCATAATTCCTTCCAAACAGCTAAAGTTGCACTAGCCATATAAATCTTCCTTCTGTCGGGTGTTCTTTCCACATTTTGAATATGCACAAAAGGAGGCATGATTATTAATTTGTGAGTTATTATAAATGTTTCTTTTGGATGTTACACTGGAAGACAATAGTCTTGTGACTGCTATTGGTCACTTAGCATATTAAAAGAATCCGCCATCTATGAGTAGATACACGAATATGGTAGATTAGCCAGTTAGTTTACATTAAAGGAACACTATAGTCACCTAAATTACTTTAGCTAAATAAAGCAGTTTTAGTGTATAGATCATTCCCCTGCAATTTTACTGCTCAATTCACTGTCATTTAGGAATTAAATCACTTTGTTTCTGTTTATGCAGCCCTAGCCACACCCCCCCGGCTATGATTGACAGAGCCTGCATGAAAAAAAAAACTGGTTTCACTTTCAAACAGATGTAATTTACCTTAAATAATTGTATCTCAATCTCTAAATTGATCTTTAATCACATACAGAAGACTCTTGCAGGGTCTAGCAAGCTATTAACATAGCAAGGGGTAAGAAAATCTTAATTAAACAGAACTGCAATAAAGAAAGCCTAAATAGGGCTCTCTCTACAAGAAGTGTTTATGGAAGGCCGTGCAAGTCACATGCAGGGAGGT